GCTGCCTGGGGTGGTCTGGCTGCGGGGGTGGATAGGGGAGAAATCCAGCCGGAGTTCTTGTTGCTCACCTGTGCCGCCTGCCATGGGCTCTGCCTGGATTTTTCTAGTCTGCGCAGAGGTGCCCATGGACTAGTAGTGGCTCCGTCTTGCAGGACCTGGAGGACGGAGGGCAGGTCATTTCTCTCAAGAGCCTCAGCTGACCACCCCCTGCCCTCTGTGTGTCTCTGCCCCAGTTTGCCCAGCTGCCCCCAGCTGTGGTGAAGACCGCCGCTCTTGCAATCCTGCATGACCGGATGACCGAGCAGCACTTCCTGCATCCCATCCAGAGCTTCTCCCCCAACAGCACCCCGGCCCCGCTCGATGGCCCCATTGACATCCTGGGTGGGGGCCGCCCTGCCCTGGAGAAGGCCAACCAGGAGCTAGGTGAGCCAGGGTCCCTGGGTGGAGATGGAGAGCCCAGGATAGGCTAGCAGGCATGCTGAGTGCTGAGACAGAGTGACCTAGGTCCCCAAGCTGTTCTGGGTTTTGTTTCCTAGGCTTAGCCCTAGACTCCTGGGACCTGGATTTCTATACCAAGCGCTTCCAGGAGCTGCAGCGGAACCCCAGCACCGTAGAAGCCTTTGACTTGGCTCAGTCCAACAGGTGGGAAGGAGTGGGGACACTAATGTCTGAGGCCCTGGTGGATGGAAGGGAAAACCCAGGGCCTGCCCTTGTGAGTCTTCCTCGGCTTAGAAGCCTCTCTGCATTCATATCTGCCTTCTACCTCTCCTTTGGGTCTGGGTCACCCACAGTGACTGATCGCCTTTGCCCCCGGGGGCAGGAGGGTATGTTTTGGGCTGTTCCCGACGGGTGAGTCGGCTCTAGCGCCGCTGTGAAATAGTGTTGAGTGCCAACGAGTACCCGCTGACTGAGGGCAACCCCGTGCACTGGTGCAGGACGTGCGCTAGGGGTTTTCAGGCCGTAAGCGCTCTGGGTTGGTGGGGTTACTGTGATTCCGAACTGACTCGATGTCCATGAGGTGTTTGTTTTCAGCTTTGCAGGAGGAGCCCTGGTCAAGTAGTGGGTTAAACC